GCGGGAGGACGGGCCCGGGGCGGGCGCGCGACGCACCGGCCGAGCCCTTGGGCGACGCGGGGCCCGGAGCCGCGGGGGCGGCGGCCGCGCTCGCAGGGGCCCCACGACGCGCGCCGAAACCCGCCAGCCTCGGAGCCTGCGAGCTCTGGGCGGAGGGGCCGCGCGGTGGCCGGAGCTGTCCCCGCCCCGGAGGCCGCGGCGGGAGTCCATCCAGGGAAGGGGCCGTCGCGACCCAGGCGGGGCGCGCAGGGGACCCGGGGCGCGGGGCCGGGAGGAGACGCCGGCCCAGCCCGCGCCCCGCAGAGCTCCGTGCCCCGTAGGGAAGGTTCAGAAAAGCCTCCTGTCGTTCCCCTTCCTGGGCTTAATCAGGTCGCGCACAGGGCACGCTCTCGGGGCGCTGAAGCTCCCCGTGCAGAACTCCGGTTCCCACGCTCCCATCGAAGCCCTTTCTTTTCCACCGTGTACGGGTGTCACTCATCGGGCCCCTGTCGCTTCCACTTTTCTCCTCCCCGCCCCCGTCACGAAAAAGAAAAACATCCTCTCTGTTTTCAGGCTTCGAGGTGTCCATGTCCGCGAGCAGCAGAACCACCATTATTTCGTGGAAAGCCCGTGATTTGCCGAGCTCAGATTGACCGGCTCCGCTAATTACAGGACGGTCTGAGGGCAGGGCAGGGGAGGGGAGGAAACGTGGTTCTTCTTCTGCACCCGAAAGAGCCTCATCCGCCAGCGCAGCCCGTCCTCCTGGTTCGCACAAGGCGTCTTAGACCTGCCTGCAATCTGCTGTCCCAGCATCTTTATCACCAGGAACTGAAGGGACCCTAAAAGCTGACCAGTTGTCACTCAAATAACTGAAACCATTTTCCCTTCGATATTTAGGAAATAAAATCCTTCTCTTTTCTCATTTTTTAAAATGTGTCCAAACATGTCTCCTGCTATTACACACCCTGCAGTTCAACATTCAAAGCAGATTTTCTTTTCAAAGTTCTAACACAGGGAATTCGTGAAATGTCAGCAGAAGGTACAAGAAAAAAAAAAAATAATAATTAATAATCCTCCACCTAAACAGAACCATATAAGGAACAGCCATCTTCGGACCTTGAAAGTAATGCAGAGACAAGTCCAGAATAAAAATGGGAGGATTCTAGGAGCTGGTACAGAACGCTTCACGTAATACTTTACAAAGCATAACTGTTTCAAAAGTGCAACAGAACAGAATGTAAGGATGTTCTATCCTCTTAAAAAAAAAAAAAACATGGAGCCATACAAAAATCTGCCTCCTCTTCTCTATTGGAAACTTTCTGCTGGAAATTTGTATTAAAGGTGAGAGTCACATTCCTCATAAGGAAGGAGCAGCAAATGACAACTGCTTAAAAAAAAATGTGCATCTCTACATGGGAAGCTCTATGCAAGGTGTTTTGCTTGTATTTTTCTTGTTGTTGTTAATCATAAAAGCCAAAGAGATAGACATTCTTGTACCCATTTTATAAGTGAAGAATTATAGATGCAGAAAGGTTTGAAAACCATCAGAAAAGCAAACAGACTTACCCAAGTTTACAGATCAAATAATGGTCCAAAAGGAATTCAAGCCCAGGCCTGTCCATGTAACACTCCTTCCATCCCACCCTCCACCCTGTGACTATTTACCCCAAAACAGCAGGTCAGTTTCTCAGGTGCTTTCAAATAGAATAGTGGAGAAAATTTTAGGAATTATCCACAAAAGCCATAGCAGAATAAAGCCTTATTTCCAGTAAGTGACTCAGGCCAGTTCTACACATCGAGTGAAATAATGGTAGGACAAGGGCACATTCAGACAATAATTTCTAGAAGTTTGGGTCACATAATACTTTTAAGAATAATTGTGCCTCAGAACCAGGAAGATGAATGACAAATCGACGTTTCTGGGACCTTCCTGCCCATGGTAGCTGTAGTGACTACAGACTCCAGTATCACTTTAACTTTATGAATCTAGGCTAGTGCAGTTAAAGGTTATCAACCTTTTCTTACACTTGGAAAAATGCTCTTTTATTTATTCTTATCCGTGGAAGATGAACAACTTGGTTTAAAAAACACTTTTTTCATTTCTCCCCTAAAGCAAATAAGAAAGAGTTAAATTGCGCCCGCTTGCTGACAAGGACTTGGCTGAGCCATTTCTTCAAAGGGCCCCATGACTGAAAGATCCCGTCTCTACTAAGTTAAAATCGTTAGTGGCTTCCTAAGTGGCAGTGGCCCCCCTGCACCACTGCGTGGCGCCAGCACCCTCTCCGCGGGTCAGCGGCCCCCAGAGCGTCCAGCCCTGTGTGTGAGCTTGATCGGGAAATCAGGAGACAGGGAAAGCCTCCATCGTCGGGTACTAGTATAATAGTCAGGAGAGTACCTAGTGATAGTGAGAACTGATATTCCACACTATTTATTCTTTACAGATTTTTATAATATTCACACCTTAACTCCCCCTTCTTTGAAATCTGCATTGCACAACCACGAACGCTTGGTTTCATAATAATATTTCAATTCAAAAATCTTTGCCTGTAAAAAGTTGACGCTTGTAGTACTGTTGATTTTTGGGGGTTATATTTGAGGTCTTAAAGTCTGAACTAGCTTCCTTTTTTTTTTTTTTTTTTTTTTAAGACTTAGTCCTCAGCAAAAAGCTGGAGCCCTCTTCTTAGAGAGCAGCCCTATCGAGGAGCATGCAGTGGTATTTTATTGGTTTTTATTGCTGTTCGTGGAATTAAATGCTTTTCTCTCTTTCGTTTTAGCCAGAGGTATTTGTTTCATTTCAGCAGAGAAATGTTTTACTATCTGAAAAGCTACTTTCTGCAAATTCAAGGTTATAAATGAGTGGTACTTTTGACATCAAAATCTCCTAGTCTATTTAAGATGAGATTCTGTTTTCAGATATTCAACCAGGAAGTTTTTCAGAGGCTCAGTTTTCCTTCACAAAATGAGAGACTTGGAATAGGAAACTTTCTTTCCTTATAAAAGACTTTACAGATCTAAAATTTGAATCCAACACATCTGTGTGAAGAGGACACACACCTAAATCCTTCCTCACCCTCCTCAAGCACCTTGGTGTCACCTGTGGGAGGAGAGATGCCCTATCCTTTAAGCTTTGCCACGTTGTGTCTGAACTCTGATGTGCAACGCAGCCAGAAAGCAAAAAGACAACCCAGAGGACCGTCTGAGTAGTATCCCACTGTTCCACCTAAGGCACACTCATTCATCAATTCAACATATATTTGTAGAGTCCCTGCAGTTGCTGGGCACCTGCAACTAAAAGTCTCTTGGTACCTTTGGAAGCCCAGTAAGTAAGAGCGCTTCAGGGGATTATGGGGGAGGAAACGTAATTTTCCCTCTACCCTTCTGAGGGTTTAGCTGAGACCCCTAAAGGTTAGCAAGGGAAAAACAAACAGAAGTTTATTAACATGTGTATCTCATGTATACATGAGAGATATCCAGGGAGAAATGATCTCTCTCCAGGGTGAGATTCAGGATGAAACACCATCTTTGTAGGGAAAGGGAAGTGGGGATGCAGGCTTTTAGAGGAGAATAAATTATTTTTAGGAAAAATGAATGGGCCCTTAGAAGAAGAGATGGGAGATATGACAGTTGGTGACACAGTTTGTCTGATGTCAACTTCTAGTCTCCTCTCCTGTGACCAATATTTCCTGGTTGAGGAAATGTCCAGGGAGAAGATTTATGACAGTTGAGTTCCTTTCAGAGGATCTGTCCTTGGGCAGCAAAGGGAAGTTCAGAGAAAGCCTCCCCCTGCACTGGCTGTTTTTCAAGTGACTACAGCTCAAAATCATCAATATATCAAGGTGGCAGATTTGGGGGCGGCATATTCTGCTACCCTTCAGAATCATGGGAAAGATGTTTCTAGAAACAGGAGTTGGAGATGAGGAATATCTTTGCAAATGTATATTTTGATTAGTGTTCTAGAATTTAATCAATGTCTACCATAGTGGAAACAGACAGAGATATGACCAAACCCAAACCTGGATAAAAAGGAGCAGAGTTTAAAACACTGATCTTCATCTAAGCATCTCTGTCCACTTCCCACTTCCTTGAATCATGAGTAATTCCTTAAAGCTTTCTGAGTTTCCATTTATCTGTCCAAAGGTCACTGTTAAAAAGCATTCGTGTGAGGGCTTCCCTGGTGGCACAGCGGTTGAGAGTCCGCCTGCCGATGCAAAGAACACGGGTTCGTGCCCCGGTCCGGGAAGATCCCACATGCCGCGGAGTGGCTGGGCCCGTGGTCCAGGGCCGTTGATGCTGCGCGTCCGGAGCCTGTGCTCCGCAACAGGAGAGGCCACAACGGTGAGAGGCTCGCATACCGCAAAAAAAAAAAAAGAGGAGAAGTAGAGAGTGGAATGTTTACAGTTTGAATTTATTTATTTCTGAATTTATTTTAATATATACTTTGGTTTATGAGAGAAGGGTTACAAAAGGTTAATGTAAATAAGTTTTGAAATTTGTTCATTCAATATTCATATTCATTCAACACATGATTATTCAACTGAATTTTTTAAGACTTTGCAATAGCTGCTTATAATTGCACAGCAGAAAGTGTTTTCATTAATGGAACTCATTTTCTCAT